CGCCTAGTCCACCATGGATCAGAGTAGAGGAGAGTAACGGAGGTAGTGGGCTGACCTGTGCGAGCTGCTTTATACAATGGTGAAGCAGCTGCACTGCTAACTTCACAGGCACTTACCCCCGAACAAAATAATTCAGAGAATGCTTAGAGCTTGTTTCAGGAAGCAAAGGCAATGAGGAGATGAACACAGCTTTTCTCTCTGTTAGTGGAATTGTCAAGTCATCCTTACAGACTTGGTTTCTGGCTGGGCAGTGGTGGGGCACGACTTTAATCCCAGCACTCGGGAGGCAGAGGCAGGTGGATCTCTGTGAGCTAGAAGCCAGCCTGGTCTACAAGATCGAGTTTCAGGACAGCTTCCAAAGCTACATAAAGAAACCCTGTCTCGAAACACCACAACCAACCAACCACCAGACAGACCTGATTTCCAAGAACACACTGATCTTAATTTCAGCTGTCTAGGTGGAGACATGGCGTCCCTCCATGGCAACACACACATGGCCCCATATTGCTCATTCTGGACACCTGAGGCCTGGCGGCTGTCCTGTCTTGAAGGCACAAACACCTATGACATGCTTGTATGTCTTGAGAACCAATGGGCACTGGTTAAATCAGTTTTCTCTTGGAAAAAAAATGAGGTCACAGTTTAGGGATACTGAATGGCTGGATATAATGGTTTTAATGTAAGAGGGCTCAAGGGACTAGAGAAAGAGACAAGAAGAACAGCAGAGGTGAGGACACACCTATGCTTAGGCAGACCTTAAGTGGCCTTACATTCACAAGGCTTTGGGTCCCTCAGCCACACCAGCTGGTGACTAACTCTGGAAAGGTAAGCCCAGGATGAGCCATGTAGGCAGCCTAGACTCTTTGTCTTTTGTTTTTGTTTTTTTCTGAGACACAGTCACACAGTGTAGCCCAGGCTGACCTTGACCTTATAATTCCCCTGCTCCAGTCTACAGGGTACTGGGATTAACAGGTGTGCACAGCATTTCAACATCCCAACTGTCCCATCCTGATTAACTGTACTCCAGGACCCAGACCTTCAACCGCTACCAACAGTCCCTGAAGGACGGCCCTGGCCTGAAAAGGCAGGCTGCCCTGTGACCAGGTGCTTCCCTTTTCCCCACAGACCCTTTTTTTCTCTACCACAAAGCATTTTCCAGAGTACTTCATGTCAAACAAATAACTGTGGAACAAATAACATTAGAGGAGCCAGGAGCTAGTGACGGCCAACGAGCCTTCTGTCCCACTGCTCAGTGGAAGTCCTGGCCACTTGGTCATTCACCCCATCTGACAGGTAGACAGGGATCGGAAGCCCAGCCATCTTCTGTCCAAGTCTCATAAAGCGTCAGTTCCCGTGTACTGCACAGTGGCGGGCGAGCAAGAGCTGCATATAGTATAGGTACCCCAGTGCACCAAGAATCCCGAAGAGGACAGGTCGGCAGATACTCAGCCACTGGGAGAACCTGGCCCTTCTAGGGGTCAGGCTACCCAATGCCCTGGCCAGGGCACTCTGCCCAGCAAGTCTGGCACACCTGACTGATTGCAGGACTCCTCCCTGCAATCCTTCCTGGATGAAGAGCCAACAAGAGAACTGCTTCCTCCACTCCCTTTCAGGGAGCTTAGGGAACTAAACACAAAGACCCACAAGGGTCCCTTGGGTGGAAGCACAGGACAGCCCTCACAGCCAAGTAGACTTGTAGACACTGCCCTCGGCTTCTGTCCCCTCCCTTACCTTTCTGGGAGCCTCAGTGAGCAGCAGCTCCAGGACAGCTGAGAGCCTGTCCTCACCGAGGTCCTGTTTCCCAGAAACTGAGATCAGAAACCTGCCAAATCCACATCCCCTCCAAGGACACTAAGTCACCACGGACCACAAAAGATCCGAACTAATGACGGGGGTGACTTAAGCTTGTGTTAACATGAGGTCGACTCTCAAACACCTTCATCAACTGACTCTTCCAACTGCTGGGACCTCCTCTTTCTCAGCGGGAGGGGAACGTCCCACCCTCTGAGGAAAGCCAATGTCCCTTGGGTTACTTTGTCCTGGGTGCTTGCTTGCAGCCCTAGGAGTAGAACGCAGGGCCTCAGGCATGCTGGGAAAGAGCCCTGATCTGAGCCATATCCCCAGACCAATCAGCAACCTCCATGTCAATGCCCAGTGCTGCTACTCAGTGCATCTCCTGGGCCTCAGTTTCCTCTCCCTATGTAATCTCACTATCTATCTGAAGGTCAGTTAAGGCAATACCTGGGAAGGGCTCAGGACAAACCTGACACAAAGAGCTCCTAAAAGTGAATGCACCAGTCAGGAGGCAAAGGCAGGTGGATCTCTGTGAGCTCGAGGCCAGCCTGGTCTACAAACTGAGTTCCAGGACAGCCAGGACTGTTACACAGAGCATCCTGTCTTGAAGAATCATTAAAAAAAAAAAAAGTAGCCGGGTGTTGGTGGCTCCTGCCTTTAATCCCAGCACTCGGGAAGCAGAGGCAGGTGGATCTCTGTTAGCTCGAGGCCAGCCTGGTCTACAGAGTGAGTGCCAGGATAGGCTCCAAAACTACAGAGAAACCCTGTCTCGAGGAAAAAAAAAAGTATACCCAGGCCAGTGAGATGGCTCAGCAGGTAAAGGCGGTTTCCTGAAAGCTGGTGACCTGAGTGCACGCCTGAGTGTGACATGGTAGGAAAGAGACCTTCACCTAACACTGACATGCTCCCTTTTCTTGCCTCTGCAAATGCGCTCCAAACTATACCTGTGCCTGGCCCCTTCAGAGGCCTGTGACGTGTTCCCTCCCTTCCCCCAGCCCCCTGTGCTACTCTGGCTGCACACACCTCAGGTCTCTCAGCATTAGGCTCTGTCCACTGCTTCTCTGCTTCCTGGTGCTGCTCCGTAGGGTCTGCGGAGAGCTCAAAGACGATAACCCAAACTGCGTGTGGAAGTTTGAATGTACCCCCCATAAGCTCATAGAGAGTGGCAGTATTGGGTGGGAGGTGTGGCCTCCTTGGAGAAATAATGTCACTGTGGGGCGGGCTTTGAGGTCCCTTTGCTTAAGCTTCGCTCAGTGGCACAGCCTCGCCTGTTGCCTGGTGAAGATGTAGCCAGCACCTTGTCTGCAGGCTGCCATGCTCCCTGCCGTGGTGATGAGGAACTGAACCTCTGCAACTGTCAGGGAGCCACCAATTAAATGCTCTCCTTCATAAGAGTTGCCTCGGGCATGGTGTCTCTTCACAGCAACAGGAACCACAGACACAGCCTTTGGCATGCTCAGCACTTTGAAAAGGACACTGGAAGGCCTCCAAACCAAGGTCCCACTTGCTGGTTTTCTCCCGCTCCCGACACCTGCGTCCCCTTCTGCAGCAGGCGGTAACTACAGCTTCTGAATTGCTCCAGCTTGCTTTCTAGCTGTTACCCGTCAATCCTCTCTGCTCCGTTCCTATGTATTTATGTGTCATTATTGTTCGAGCTTTATTGTCCCCTCTGCTCCACTAGCAGTATAAATTATCAGAAAATTCAACTTTTCAAAAAGCCAAAATAAATGGGTCTCTCTACGCTCGCTCACTAGTAATATGACGCCGGGCCCAACAGTGAATTCCCATGTAGATAAGGTCTCAACCAACCCTTATAAGGCAGCTCAGTCCCTAGACCATACACAGGGAAGAAGTTTAAGGTAAAACATGAGGGTGGTAACAGGACCAGGCTGTGTCTGGCTTTCTCTTTTCTTTCCGCTCTATGCTAAGCTAAAATGACAGCAACAGATGGCCCACTGGAACCTAAGAAGGTTTTGGCATCAGGGAAATTAAAAACATGTAGAGAGGGGGAGGGAATGGATATGGGGTGGGGGCTTAGAGCATGTCAGGATGTAAATTATTGTGGGGTACCCCCAAATCCCCTTTGGACGGTGCTGCCCCCAAACCAAACCCTCATGCCAACACAGAGCACAGCTGCCGCAGGAATGTCACATGTCCTCCCTCATTTCTCAGCAGCAAAGCCAAGTGGAGGCTGGCATGTGGCCTTACCTGAAAGCCTAATTTTCCCTTTCATGCTCCTCTGTAAAAGAAAGGGATTCCCCGGTCGACGAGATTTGCTCAAGCTGTTTCTGGAAACAGCTATCAAAGCCCAGGCAGGAGTTCAACTATGCAAGCCTCCAACCCATTAGGAGCTACCACATGTGGGAATGATAAATGTGAGCCGGCTGTGTGTGTCAACCCAGCCATGGGTGACCATCAAAACCACAGCGAAGGCCCAAGTGAGGACAGGAAAATCCAGAAACTATACTTTTCCAGAAGGTGGAATTACCATTCTCTTTCCTAGTAAAATGCAGCAGGGTGGGAAGGCGGGTCACTAACTCAGGCGCAGGGAGGGGCCCCCTGGCTCCAGATCACTTCCCTAGCAGGAGGGGAGGGAGGCCACTTGTAATGAGAGACTGGCTGAGCTTAATTCGCCCTAGGGGGCTTCTCCTGTTTTGTAGCTGAGGAAGATAAGATCAAAAAGCAAGCCTTTCCTCCTTTGACTCTAGTTTTCCAACATGTAAACTGGAAACAGCACTCGCTACCCGAAGCCTTTACACTAACTTTCTAGAAAAAAAAAAAGAAAAAACAACGCACAAAGCTAAAACAAAAGAGAAATTATCTCCCTGTCCAAAATCAAAGACAAACCTTTTCTTAACCTCTAGATCAACCAAAACTTTACCAATCCATACATTAGCTAGCGGCTACATTCTCTTCCATACTTATCTGGCTCACCTGACAACCGGAGAAAACTCAACCGCAGTGTTTGATGCAAGCCATAAAAGCTAGTGGTTTCCGGCCGCTGCCACTGACTTCGGAAGAAATATCGAGGTGCCCCTACAAGACAGTACTTTACTGAGCTGTAGGGAAGGTGGCCTGTGTGCGACGTGACTGCCGGTGGGCCAGGGTCACCTGTGCCCAGGATGCTAGCAAAACGGCCTGGAATGGCATCACCTGAGACCTCGGAGGAGGCCGGCTCAAGGATGGGTCCTCAAATCCAGGCTCACCTGAAAGCTCACTGGGCACCATGTGAACTGTGAAAGAGGCTGGCACCAAGCGTGGGCTCCAGCGACACTTTTCCTCCCAGCCCAGGCCTCAAGCCGGGTCCTCGGTACGGGAAATGGTGGCGAACTGCTGTGCGGAATTCGCCCCACCGTGGGGTTCTCATTTCCCAGGTGGTCACTGGGAATCTAGCACCTCAGAGCTCTTCCCAGCCAGGCCAGCAAGGCCAGGTCCAAGGTCCCAAGGTCGGTGTTGGGGGGGAGGGGAGGGTAGGCCAGGGGGTACCCAACCCAAGGACCTCGAGGGCTTCGACTCTGGAGGTCCCTCCTCAAGCCCCCGCTAGTCCCGGACTTAAATGATCCAGAGAAAGAGACCATAAGGCAAAGCTGCGGTGGCAACAGGTGTGCCACACTCCCTGCGAGCTGGTGTCCCGGCCGCAGCGTGTCCGGCGCTCTAACCGCTTACTAACCTGTGGCTCCAGGGCCGGCCTGGGCCTCCATGCTCCTGCTCAGCAAGTATAGCGTCTGCCACCCAGAGGACCTCTATCCGTTCCCCCCTCCCCCACGGCCACCACCTCACTACCTCTCGGGCTCCCTTGGGGCTGCCCCGCCCCTGCCACCTCCCTGGGGGGTTTTCTCCTTCTCACTCTTTGCCTCAGGACTGCGAGCTCTCTTTACCTTTTCCCCCAGGAGGACCACCGCCCAGTAGTGTCATTAGCAAATCTCGACTTCTCAAAGTTTACAAAGAACGGTTTTTGCTTCAGAAGAGCTTAGTATTGTCTTTAAACACACAGGCTTACGACCTCCTCCCCAATGCCCCTATGATCAGGTGGCTAGGGTCCCTTCTCTTAGACCTGTACTGGGCAGATTTTTCCACCACGGCCCTTCTGTTTCTATGTGCAAAAATCGTTTGCACTAACCCTTTTCAAAAACTTGACATGACTGAAAAGTAGCTAAAATGTAAGCCGGGTGGTGGCGGCACACACCTTTAATCCCAGCACTCAGGGAGGGGGGCAGAGGCTGGTGGATCTCTGTGAGTTCGAGACCAGCCTGGTCTACAAGAGCTAGTTCCAGGCCAGCCTCCAAAGTCACAGAGAAACCCTGTCTCGGAAAAAAAAAAAAAAAGAAAGAAAGAAAGAAAAAAGAAAAATAGCTAAAATGTAATAAACAGGCATCCACACATCTCTTCTACCCACTCCAGAGTCTTTCCAACAGCCTGGATAATGTGCTCACGATTTATCAGATGCTCCAACTGGTGCTCACTTGACAAAGCAAAATTCGACGTCAGCAATTTTCCTCCAGTATAATCAGCCTATTGCTTTAGGAGGATGCAGGGGTGAGTGATTTCAAATTTCGCCGTCCAACCGATTATGGTGGAGATACACCTAAGGTCCCAGCTTGCTGGGAGGTTGAAGAAGGAAGAAGGCTTGAGCCCATTACTTGGAGAACAGCCTGGCTAATCAAGGAGATCCTGTCAGTGGCATGGGGCAATACTAACTGAACAGACACAACACAATTCCGTGCTGGGTGTGGCAAACTAAAGAATTCTTTTCAGAAATCCACTCTGGTGAAACCAGGATTCTTAACTTCACTGGCAAAAAAAAAAAAAAAAAAAGAAAAAGAATTTCGGAATAAGTCAGTGTGGTGCAGAGTCTTCATTTATTAGAAACTTTTAAACACAGATGTAAGGTTAGTAGAAAGATCGGTGTTTAGGGGAAGGAGTGGAAACGAGACACATCCAGGTGGGTACGGGCTTTTCAAGAGAGCTCTCTAAGTGTCTAAGTGTCTCTACAATACAGCCATGTGTTTAAGTGTCTTTAGCCACAGAGTGTCTTTACATAGCCATAAGCCGGGCGTTGGTGGCGCACGCCTTTAATCCCAGCACTCAGGAGGCAGAGGCAGGCAGATCTCTATGAGTTCCAGGCCAACCTGGTCTATAGAGTTAGTCCTAGGACAGCCAAGGCTACACACACACACACACACACACACACACACACACACACACACACACACACACACAAACCTGTCTGGAAAAATCAAGTGAGAGAGTGTGTATGCATGTGTATGTACACATGCATATTTTGCATATTTTTATATATATACTGGAACATGGCTTGCTTCTCATTCCCATTTCCTGCCGCACCCGCTGTGCAGCCTGTGTCCGAGAATGTGCGGAGGGTGTCGGGACTGATGATGACACAGAGACCAGTCAGTGGTTTTCCCTCTTTCTTAGGTTTTTTTTTTTTTTTTTTTAGGAAACTTTTTCTTTTTTGGTATTTTGAGTCAGAGTTTCTCTGTGCAACAGCCTAGGCTATAGAGACTGGCCTTGAACTCAGAGGTCCACTTGCCTCTACTTCCCAAGTAAAACAACAAGACATCCTCATGGGAGGTGAGATACTACAGGGGAGCTCCTTTAGGCAGAAAGTGAACAACTCAAAATAGCTTCAGGAAGTCCCTGAAACTGACCAGATTCACTAGGCTCCTCCCTCCAAGAGTAAATAAATGGTAAAGACTTCTGAGTCGATCTCATTTTGCCCGGAAGGAGTAGAGAGAGACCAGCAAAACTGCCTAAAAGACCAGCTAAGCTTCGGAGAATCCTTGGGCCAACTAAACCACCTGGAGAGGACACCCTCTAACCTGCCAGCTGCCTGCAGCTTCTGTGAGTTGTCACCTATGCTGGTGTGGGCTTTGGTGACACAGCTGTCTTTATTCCTGCTCCTGTTAGTCACCCCTCACCCATAATTCCTGTAAGCGATCTCAATAAACTCATGGATCCCAAGCTGGACTTCGTTGGAGTTTCTGCCCTTTTTGGTCTGTCTTTTGTCCTTTGGTCTGTTGACAATTACTTACATGGGGTGAGTAGGAGTTTGTTTATACAGCACTGTCCCGAGAGATATGGGTCAGTGGCAGAGATGTTCAATCTCCAGAACCAATATTAAAAGGAAGGAGAGAACTGAATCTCTAAAATTGTCCTCTGACCTTCACACTTGCACCGTGGCATAGGTGCCTGTACATACAATAATAATGTTTTAATTAAAAAGTAAAAAGGAGGGGCTGGGAGATGGCTCAGTGGTTAAGAGTACTGGCTGTTTTTCCAGAGGACCCAGGTTCAATTCCCAGCACCCACATAACCGATCACAACTGTCTGTAACTCCAGTTCCCCAGGATCTGACACTTTCACACCAATGCACATAAAAGAAAGTTAAAATAAATAATAAAAGTAAAAGGGCATTTTTTATAATTTGAACTATCTCTTTAAACACACACACACACACACACACACACACACACTTCCATAATGTATATGTTTTTGTTTGCTCTTTCTACATCCATTTCACACCACTTGTATCGCCATGGTTGGACCATGTGCTTGGTTTCTGAGACTGTGAGCCCCAGAGCCACCTAAGGACACTTTCCTCCAAATACCTTGCACATTCCTTGACAGATCTACTGGACAGCTATCACAAAAGGCCCCTCCCAACCCGGCATTGGTGGCACATGTCTTTAATCCCAGCACTCAGGAGGCAGAGGCAGGCGATCTCTGTGAGTTCAAGGCCAGCCTGGTCTACAGAGTGAATTCCAGGACAGCCTCCAAAACAATACAGAGAAATCCTGTCTCGAAAACAAACAAACAAACAAAAGATCCCTCCCTTTCACTAAGTACCTTAGGATGACTTGTTGTTGGTAAACAAAAGTTTTAACTTAGGGCGCATGCTGTGCTCCTATCCAGTCTAACCATGCTCAGAAATTGTCCTAGACCTCCTAAGCAGACAGTCGGATTGTCTATAAATGAGTTACAGTATTCCCAAGCCCTCTTAATACAGACTCAGCCACTTAACACTTACTACCGACACCAAAATTGCCCTGGGGCCCTAAGTCAACATAAAAGAAAAATGCCATTTATATCTGTGTCAAGAGGAGGGGCCCTGCAAAGACCTAGCCATGTGTTTGATATGGCCTCTGTGTCCCAAGAGGACTCTTAAGTACCGTACTATAGCCTTCATCTGGCCTTACTTATCAGCACAGGAACTTCCTTTGTGTTAACAATACAGCTGTTGAGTCATTCCCAAGGTATTAGAGAAATTCTACAGAAAGAATCTGGCACCTAAACAATAGGCCTAACAAGCTCCTGGATTTTAATGAATAAGCAAACTCCTGTTGCAACAGTTGTTACTATTTAGTGAAGGAGATGTGCTCCTTAAAAAAAAAAAGTGATAAAGCAAGGGTTAGTATAATAAGCAGGGAAAATGTGACAGACAAAACCGCAGCTGAATCTTTGTCCTTCAGCACGTGGTGGAAGAGCATTATTTTCGGGTGTGAACTAGAAGACTTGCAGGAGTTTGAAAACAGGAAATAACATGAAGGCATATGAGGCAAGAATCTCCCAGACAAGACCAGGTGCATTCAGGACAGCATTTCCAGAGACAAAACCATCAATGTGTGAATCTGGTACCTCCACCAACATAGAGTAGAACTTTGGGGTCTGTCTTCCCTAGGTGGGTGCAAGCCCACTTTGTATGGGATCTTTCCAAATGGATGCAGAAGTCAGAGCCCACCTTGGACTGTACAATCAGCCAGCAACTGCCGGCCAAGGCTGGGGAGGCCTTGCAATCTTTGCTTCTCACCAAACCCCAAAAAGAAAGCGATAGTCAAGTCAGTTCACCCCTGGTAAGAAAACTGTTGCAGTAATTGAAGCAACAACAGTGTTCGCTCTACTTATTCAGCATGAACCTAACTAAAAAGTAAAGCAGTGGTGTTTTGATGAAAATATTCTGTATCACATAATCTTTATTTAATGCATGTGTGTGTTCCTATGCATGCAGGTCCGCAAGTATACGCACATATGGAGAAGCCCGAGGGCCACATTGTTGGTGTCATCTTCAAAAAGCCCACCCAATTCCTTTGAGACCATTTTTTGTTTTGTTTGGCTTTTTTCTTTTTCCTTTTTTTTTTTTTTTTTTTTTTTTTTGCTGTTGTTTTTTGAGACCTGGTTCCTCTGTGTAGCCTTGGCTATCCTGGAGCTCTGTTGACCAGGTTGGCCTGGAACTCACAGAGATCTGCCTGCATCTGCCTCCCAAATGCTGAGATTAAAGGCATGCACCACCACCGCCTGGCTTTGGCTTTTTTATAGACTGGGAGATCACCAATTCAGTCAGCCAGGCTGGCCAGGGAGTTCCAAGGATCCTCCGGTCTTCACCTTCTCCAGTGC